ATAGGTGAGCGACTTTAATAGCATGCAGACAGCTGTGCATTACCCGCTTTTACCGTTAAACACTGGCTAAAATCGGTAAGCGTACATGTAATTGCGACTATTATGAATTTTTAGCGTATTATTTTCATATGTCTATGTTGTTAGAAATCTCTAATTTTATAGTATTTTATCTTCTGTTGCTTTGTAGATAAAGTGCGAAGGGAGCGAGGGAAGGTGTTTGTTCATTGTATCGCAGGAATTAGCAGGTAAACTCTACAACAGGAATTTTAATTTTTAATGTATAAAAACTCGTTTCTTAAAACAATGAATTGCAAATCTGTGGTAACCAAGGAAGTACAATATTCATTAGCTGTTCTTAACATTTTGGACTTCCTGCTTTTAATACCTGCAGGCATTCATTTTTGTTGGGCTATTGCAGTTAACACCTGCATCCCCTCCCCCTTCGGTTGAGGACCAATGAAATTCTTCAGGGGAATGAATGGAGGATTTCTTTAGGGTAGGGGAGAAAAATACGAAATTCCTTAGTTTTGAAGCTTTAATTTACAACAAAATCTTCAGGGGTGAACAGGGAACAAATTATCTTTCCACGCAATTCTTCAGGGGTAGACCCATATCTTATGGAGGTCTTCAGGGCCCAGTTGTTCAAAGGCCGATCAGTGCTAACCCAGGGTTAAATTTAAACCTGGGTTTCTTTTTCTTTTGTTCAAAAGCATTTTCCCGGATAAGTTTCTCTATTCTTTTTAGAGTATCCAATCATCAAATTGCAGGCAAAAATAATAACACTGAATTTGCTTTTTTAGCGTTTTGACATCTGAATTCAAAATTTGCTCTAACCCTGGGTTATCTTAACCCTGCTTTGAACAACCTGATCCAGGTGAGATGTGTGACAGTTCTTGCATGAGCTCATTAGGATCAGACACAATACACTTTGCTTGATGAAAAAGTGTTTTTGTATTGGCTGTACTTGTGTTGCAAAAGGTGATGCAAACTGAAATGCAAATATTGATCTGTGTGTTGGTTTCCCGGACGCTTGAGAAACCTGATTTCAGCCAAGGAATGAGAGTGTGAATTAAGAAAGGGGATAATTGTTACTTTTTTTCTGTCTCACAAGTAAACTTGATGCACTCGGTTGATGTGAATGAAAAACGTATTATTTACATTAATGGCACACCACACCTTTGAAGTAGAAACAGGATAGGAAGAAAAATACTCTTCCTCAAATTCCTTCATGTAAAGGGTGGCTATTATGAACTGAAGATACTTGTTTACTGACTCCATGGCTGTCAGGCATTTTTTTTTGGTTGGTAGTTATTTCCTTATACAGAAATAGTTATTATTTTTAGGCAGAACTAATGCAGCTTAGTGATGGCATCTGGACTCATAGAGAGTAAGATTGTAGGCTAAGTGAGGGAAATGGTACACAAGTTCACTTTAACTCACACCCAGTATTAATAAGAAGTCCCTAAAAGCTCAAATTATGTTGCTTATTCCTTGAAGAGTGTTGCTGCACTACAGATGATATATATAGTACTGCACAGTGCAGTGCCTTGCCAAATTGGCAAGAAATTCTGTCAGTCAATGGTACAGCAAAGCAGAGACAGACCACCCAAAGCCCCACCGATCACAGGTTGGAGTATCTCAGAGGATTCTTTGTACTGTTTATTGGGTTGTACCCAAGCAAAGATGTTGTTCTCCCATCTCAAGTTAGTGGAACTACGTGCTTTGATTGAGATAGGACCGGCAGCTTTATTTAGAGAGGCTTTGATCCCTAGTCTTAGCAAATACATGTAAATTTTAATATATTATATTTTTGTTGAAAATTNTGATGCAAACTGAAATGCAAATATTGATCTGTGTGTTGGTTTCCCGGACGCTTGAGAAACCTGATTTCAGCCAAGGAATGAGAGTGTGAATTAAGAAAGGGGATAATTGTTACTTTTTTTCTGTCTCACAAGTAAACTTGATGCACTCGGTTGATGTGAATGAAAAACGTATTATTTACATTAATGGCACACCACACCTTTGAAGTAGAAACAGGATAGGAAGAAAAATACTCTTCCTCAAATTCCTTCATGTAAAGGGTGGCTATTATGAACTGAAGATACTTGTTTACTGACTCCATGGCTGTCAGGCATTTTTTTTTGGTTGGTAGTTATTTCCTTATACAGAAATAGTTATTATTTTTAGGCAGAACTAATGCAGCTTAGTGATGGCATCTGGACTCATAGAGAGTAAGATTGTAGGCTAAGTGAGGGAAATGGTACACAAGTTCACTTTAACTCACACCCAGTATTAATAAGAAGTCCCTAAAAGCTCAAATTATGTTGCTTATTCCTTGAAGAGTGTTGCTGCACTACAGATGATATATATAGTACTGCACAGTGCAGTGCCTTGCCAAATTGGCAAGAAATTCTGTCAGTCAATGGTACAGCAAAGCAGAGACAGACCACCCAAAGCCCCACCGATCACAGGTTGGAGTATCTCAGAGGATTCTTTGTACTGTTTATTGGGTTGTACCCAAGCAAAGATGTTGTTCTCCCATCTCAAGTTAGTGGAACTACGTGCTTTGATTGAGATAGGACCGGCAGCTTTATTTAGAGAGGCTTTGATCCCTAGTCTTAGCAAATACATGTAAATTTTAATATATTATATTTTTGTTGAAAATTTTCTGTTCCTTTTCTGCTTTAGATCGGCAACTTTAGTGTTGGCATACCTTATGAAGTATCAAAGGATGAACCTTATTGATGCTCACTCATATGTCAAGCAAAGAAGGCCTCTTATTCGACCAAACTCTGGTTTTTGGAAAGACTTGGTGGAGTTTGAAAAGAAGCTCTTCCATAAGAACACAGTCAATATGGTGGAATCTAAAATTGGTGGGTATATACCAACCTATAGTGTATACACTAGTCTTATGTGTATACTTCTCTGATAATAACTACTGCTAACAACCCATTCAATCTAGGGTCTCTGCTTTCAGGTTTATTCTTTACTTTTGGGAGTTAATATGATGATGATGATAATGATAATGATAATGATAATGATAATGATAATGATAATAATAATAATAATAATAATATGTTCCAAGGAAGGAGGGAGGAAGAGGTTTCGTCGTGATCGAGGACTGAGAGTTTTGGAAGCCAAGAATTGTGAAGTGTCTTGGATTACTCTGTTCTAAGATAGAGGGGTTACCCACTTTAATTTAGTTCATACCAAAAATAATTAGTCAAGACTGTGAAGTACTAAACTGTTTTTTTTTTTAAATTCTTCTTTAGGTTTGGTTCCCAGTGTCTACAAAGATGACCTTAAGAATTTGGTTTGGTGACAGCAAGCTAACAAATTGTTACGTTAATATAGCCTAGGAAACTCATGATGACTGTTCTTATTATGGGACCGGAAATAACTATCATTAAAATGTTGTGTTATTGCCTATTACAAACTGAGGAGGTCCACATAGGACAAGACAAGAGCCTCATAGCCAGAAAGAGGAAACCGCTGTTTACAAATTCCTCAAGTTTGATTTGTTATCGGGCTTATATTAAACGAGTTACAGGCATTCAAAAACTCCAAGATTTACTAGTAAGAAACATGTAGAAGCCTGGGCAATGTGTCCAGCACTCCATACATCTCTACTAAGTAAATTTTCAAGTATTTGAATAGCTGTATCTTGTTCAATATAAGCCTGATTATCCCTAAATATGAAGATTTTGTAAAGCTTGGTATGCACTTTCCAACTATGACAGACTTATGTTCGTAATCCCATAAGGACTCATACCCAGCCCCCCATGGTTTGAAATTAGGCGGTACTACCAAAATACCCTCAGTTGCATCATTTCCGGAGATCTCACTATCCTGCAGAAAACAGGGAGTGCGTGACATCGTCAGAAGAATACAAAAAAAGAAGAATGTAGAAGATATTGTGTATCATAATTTAGTAAAATCCAACTAGTGGTCTATGATCAATGCTGTGTTCTGATTGGTTGAGCTACCATTAGGCTATATGTTATAGCCTATTAGTAGTGAAAAATACTGGCTTTGAAAACCAAAACAATGGCGGATGAATCATGTTTTGCTAGCTAAATTTGTTTTGTTTCGGCCTCTGAGTCAATAGCCCAGAGGCCGAAGGCCAAATGGGCTATTGACTCAGAGGCCATTCGGGTTCGAAGAATAATTGTTAAATATAATGCACACTGAGCAGGAGCATGTTAAGATGGAGCAAAGCATCTACATTATTAAAGGTAGCTTTTTGCAACTTGTCTTGCAATGCTGTTGTACTACATGTAATATGAGACAGGCTGCATAGGGCATTGTCTAGTGTAGCACTACCTGAAGTAAACTTGTTTTGCAATGTTAACGTTGCAGTATTCACTTAAAAAATTGCTCGAACTTAATTCAATTATATGCAATGTTTGCTGCGATGGTATCTTTTTAGACTTCTTGTTCATTTCAGGTTGTGTTATGTCCCCAGAAATGTAACTTCCTGGAACAAAACTGTTATAATGTAGGTCGTTTAAGATTGTGGTGTTTCATGGATTTCGTATGAAATAATGGTTTATGCTATCTTGTGTGCAGACCAGTTGAGCTATTGACAAACTATATATTGTAAATTTTGTATTATACCTTGATCTGTAATATTACATTGTAATTGAAAAATTGACATTTCACAGCAAATCTTGACGTGAGATATTACTTCATAGTTAACCGTTTCGTTGTGTTGGCACTGCCTTGTTGAATGACCAAGTCACTCTGGAAAAGACATTCTTTTTCTAATCACAAATAATAATAAAGAAGTAACTGACCGTTCTATAAGCCTTCAAAATTAATCTGATCTTAATAAAGTTATTTTACATAGATTGCAAAAATTCAGGAAAGCAAGCCACCATGAATGACGTTACTCCATTCAACGGGAAATTGGCAGGAGGCTGTAAGGGCTGGAAAGTTTGCAAAGGCTTCCTTGCCATAATTTTTTCTAATAAAAATTTGAAATGAAATTTAAAGGTGGACCGAATTTGTGTCATGCGTGATCCGACTTGGTGGGTCACTTTGCTGTATTTTAACAATCTTTGGAAGAGAATTACATGTGGATCAGATTGAATAGACTTGGAATGCTCAGACAGCGGTCAGTGACATAAAACATCTTATTTTGCGATCACTTTTATTGAGGATATTTGAGTTAATTAGTGACTTGTC